AATATTATTTTCTAGTACTTAGAGAAGTTGTCAAAAAGTATTTTTATATCAAGAATTTTATGTTTTTGTTTCTACGAGTATATAACATTATTGCATAGTGAAAACATAAAATGATTATTCTGAGAAACGCCGGCTCATATTTCCAATTATATTTTCATATATAAACTCGTAATCCACTGAACAGCGACCCAAAGCTTTTGCCTCAATCCGTCGTGTTTGGCAGGCGGATTGACGGTTACAGCGTCAGATGTCTCGCACCATCAACGCTACTCTATGTCCTACAGTCACCGCTTTCGATATCTTCAAGACGAAATGGGATGATGTAATTTCTTAGAAGGCCACCACACAATAATTCTGGTATTGTATTGGATAATTTATTTTCTTTTGATATTCAATATTCATCCAAACAATCTATTTTTTTAATCAAATATAATATTTCCGCAGGCATTATCCATTATTTTCCTGACACGTTTAAGTTTTCATTTATTTTATTTTCGATTCAATGTTTATTTATAAAATACCAATTACTGTTTACTTAGTATAAAACTGCTCTTAATATTTGCCTTATAATGTTATATTATATAAGATACTACAATTATAATACATGTCAAAATAGACAGTAAAATGGGGAGTTTAATGAGGTGATTTGGAACGAAATTAAACTCAATATTGTCATAGAGACCAGTCACTTTCTTATTTTTATAATTGTATGCATTATACACGTTTAACTTGAACTTGGCTATTTTTTCCCCAATTTGACAATACTGATTCGTTCTGTAATTGAAAACGAAGTTTATTGGGTTCTTATTACTAGGGTTATAAATTCTCAATAGCAGATCGGAACCAGGAAGTTGGCGGCGTTACAACCCCGTGCCTCTCCATTGATTCTGCGCCTGTTCTCTCTCTGGCCGTTTTGGAAAACCATCCTATCGGAACACGAGAGTGCATCTGTGCTTGTGCATATACAGCCAGTCTCCAATGAGACTGGTTGCCGTGATCGAAATTCAGTCTAGAGGACATTATAACAATGGGTTGCCTGTTGGTTGTATACAAGTGTTGACTTATTTTCTTATTTACTCAACATTGCCATTTATATCCTCTAAAGTCCACGAGCGAGTACATTAGAAACAAAAACATTTACACTCTAAATTTTTTTTCATTTAAATTTTTACGCGATTGATTGTACGCTTATTAGTAGGAACATATCAGTAAAAATAATTAAAGCCTGTTAAATCCAATCAGTAATCAGTGTACCAACTAGGGTTTGGGTCCCGGGACGTCTCGTGTCTCGAAGTCCCGGGACTTTTCATAATTTTAGTTGTCTCGAGTCCCGGGACTATTGGGTCGAGTCTCGAGACGAGACAAGATTGTCGAGATTGTTATGTAATCATTTTTATTTTCAAATAATTGAAGGAGCCTAGCGCCATGTGCTAGTTTAATGAATAATTACTTGGTCTATACACACAAATATGTGATTATGAGAATTAACAATGAGATTATGAACTATGATTAGATACTAGAATTACTAGATAATAGCCGGATGATCCCAGCGCTGTTGCTGACTCTGTCACTGATGTGGTGCTACAGGGAATGGAACTATTTATTCCATCATCTGTGGTACCCATCGGAGGCAGATCTCAGCCTTGGTTTGGTCGCTCCTGTAAGACTGCATTACGCAGTAAGCAGGAGTGTTATCAAGCCTGGGCTGCGGCTTCGGCGACTCGGGATGTAAATACCAGCACACTTAAAAAGAAGTATAACTTCGCCTCCAGGTCCTTCAAAAGAGTTATTGCCAAGGCAAAGTCAGAGCACATAGGCAGAATTGGCGAGAAACTAGTTCGCCTTCCTTCGGGAACCCGTGCATTCTGGTCTCTCGCCAAGGCTGTCCAAGGGAATTTCTGTAAGCCATCACTACCATCTCTGCACAGGGAGGATGACTCACTGGCGCATGACGCAAAAGACAAAGCCGACCTTTTAGGCTCCCTTTTTGCGTCCAACTCGACTCTTGATGACGGGGGGAAAACACCGCCGACCATCCCGCGGTGTGAGTGCTCCATGCCGGATGTGCTGTTCTCACAGCGCTCAGTTCGCAAAGCACTGCTCTCCCTGGACATCCAGAAGTCGAGTGGGCCTGATGGAATCCCCCCAATTGTGCTGAGGACGTGTGCTCCGGAGTTGGCACCGGTCCTAACGCGTCTTTTCCGGTACTCCTACTCCCAAGGCGTAGTCCCGAATTCATGGAAGACAGCTTTTGTACACCCGATCCCTAAAAAAGGCGACCGCTCAGACCCATCCAACTATATGCCTATCGCGATCACCTCCTTGTTCTCCAAAATAATGGAATCCATTATTAACTGCCAGCTCATCCGGTACCTTGAGGATCACCAGCTGATTAGTGACCACCAATACGGTTTTCGTCGGGGTCGATCAGCTGGTGATCTTCTGGTCTACCTGACCCATAGATGGGCGGAGGCAGTAGAGTCCAAGGGGGAGGCGTTGGCCGTTAGTCTGGACATTGCGAAGGCCTTCGATCGGGTTTGGCACAAAGCGCTTCTTTCGAAGCTCCCTTCCTATGGGCTTCCCGAGAAATTGTGCAATTGGATCACCAGCTTCCTTGCAGATCGGAGCATCAAGGTCGTTGTAGACGGTGCATGCTCTGACTACAAGCCTATTAACGCTGGTGTTCCACAAGGCTGTGTGCTATCACCAACGCTGTTTCTTCTGCATATCAATGATATGTTGCTAACTGGTAACATTCATTGCTATGCGGATGACAGCGCTGGTGATGCTCTATACATCGGCCGTGCCAATATTTCTCGGGAAAACGTCGCTGAGTACCGGAACAAACTTGTGTCTGAAGTCGAGTCTTTGCTGAACAAAGTCTCGGATTGGGGGCGACTAAATCTAGTCCAATTTAATCCTCAGAAGACACAAGTTTGCGCGTTTACCGCTAAAAGGAACCCCTTTGTCGTATCTCCTCAGTTTCAAGGCACTCTCCTTCTTGCCTCAGCCAGTATCGGTATCCTCGGAGTCGACATATCGAGTGACGTGCAGTTTCGTGGTCACTTGGAAGGGAAGGCCAAATTGGCCTCTAAAAAGCTTGGCGTGCTCAGCAGAGCGGGACAGTATTTCATGCCGGCACACCGCCTGCTACTTTACAAGGCGCAAGTTCGGCCTCACATGGAATACTGTTCCCATCTCTGGGCAGGGGCTCACCAGTGCCAGCTCCTTCCACTTGACCGCATCCAACGCAGAGCGGCTCGAATTGTCGACGACCGAGCCCTTTCCGATCGGCTCGATTCATTGGCACTTTCACGAACGCACATCGCGGCAGAACTCCCGATACCATCCACACCATCTGGATGATTGTCGGTCCACCACTGTGCGATTTAGAAGATGTTTTCTTCCTCGCACGACCTCCTTGTGGAATCGATTACCATCAGCGATATTTCCGGACCGATACGACTTAGGGACCTTCAAGAAAAGAGCGTACTCCTTTTTAAAAGGCCGGCAACGCATCTGCGATTCCCCTGGTGTTGCAGTTGTTCATGGGCGGCGGTAGTCACTTACCATCAGGTGAGCCGCATGCTCGTTTGCCCCCTCTCCTATAAAAAAAAAAGTAGTAAAGTTATTAAGAGTTAGTATAATTTTTAACTAAGTCCGTTTCATAACTATAAGATTTAACTGTTGTGTAGAAGTGCGTCTGTGTGTGACTAAAAGAAATAAACAAAGCATTTATTAAGACTGAAATTAACGTAAAAGTTATTTAATTGCTTCTTTTTAATACGTTTCACCAGAAATTAACTCAATTAAAATTCTTAAAAAAAGGCTTACCCATCTTAAAAAAAAAACAAAAAGGCTTTTTCTTAAAAGTCTCGAAGTCCCTGGAATTCCCAAGACTTTGACTATAGGCTATATACTTTATAATAGGATATAGGCTAAAATAACGGGTACGTCGGGTACTTAATGATGACGTATGACTTAAAACAAAAATTTATATCAGCCCACCATCATATCCCCGGTAGTCCTACCAGCGTATTGCTGGTAAGTGTATATTTTTTAAATGTATATAAAATGCACTAAGCCAAATTTTTATTTAAAAAGGAAACTTTATTTTGACACACACATTAATAAAACATAAAAGTGATTTAATAAGTTAGACTTTGTACGTCAAAGGCATACCAAAGAAGGACATCACACGACATGGATTAGGGTGAAACCACATCGGCGATTTTCAGAGATGACCCAAAATCTTTTATTATATGCAACCTCGAGAATAAATCAATATAACCTTATCCAAGGACGAAAAAAAATTTAATACATAAATTAAATATATTGTTTACATCTGGGTACTATTACTATTATACCTACCATCTGCATGAATGGGTGTGTTCTTAAATTTTTAATGTGCTTCATCTATTTCAAAACTTTTAGATATCAGTTACACTACAGTCATATGTCCTATAGTTTTTTAAATTTATTTAGAAATGGTAATTAATATGAGTAAAAGATAAATTAATTTATAATACACTTCAAAAGTAAAAGGAGTTAAGTTACAACCTTTAAAAGTGTCACTGTTGGGGTCCCCTACTCATTTCTGTTTTCCTTAACCGCCAAACACGTAGTAAATCTGCACCATAATTGTAACAAACAATTTTGCTGGTGCTGTTGAGGTTCCAACCCAACCCGCTAGTTATGAAATTAAGGTCGAGTGTCTAGCCCTTGAGCTAAACAAAGTTATAAATATGATATTAATTTTGAATATTGAATTCAGTGGTATTTACAAAAATAAAGTAAACAAGGACAATCTACGCTACTTGGTATTAATTTAACTGAGATAAAATTAATTTTCTTTTGTTTCAGATTACAGTGAAATGTGAGGCTTTGTGAGTGTTCGAAAATAGTTATAGTGTTAAATATGAGGTAAATCATTGTATGTTCACAGTGTTAAAGATTAGTGTTGTGTAATACTTATTCAACGAAATGAGATGACGATAAAAATGGGTGTGGTGGAGTTATTATATCTGATTGGGCTTATGAGTTATGGGTATGGTCAAAATTGTCGCGAAGAGGAGCCCCCAGCTAGAAAGTGCGAGAACTTGTGCCGTGGAAATGGAACCTGTAAGATAAAAGCGGCTCTGCTGTTGCCCAAAAATACAACGTTTGATGCGTCGTTACCTGTTGTAAGTATTAAAATATATCTTTTTAAGTAATATGATCGTGTAGTAGCGGTGTAAGAATATTCACTACCCCATATCGTCCCGGGTGTAACAAGAGGCGACTAAGGAAAACAAACCAGGATGTGAACAGAAGTGTCTTCCTAATAACCAGCTTCCAATAATCGCCGGTTAAGCGTGGGAACTATGGCACATATCATAATATATACATTCCATGGTATTTATATTTGCATGACATGATAGATTTTTTTATATGATAGGGTGACAAACAAGCACACAGAAAGTGGTTACTGTGACCCATAGACATCTACATCTATCCTCAATAAAGACTCAAGATGCAGATGTGTTGTCACCCGTGAGGACTAAGATGGAATGCCTCTTTGCCTGTAAAAGGGGTCTCCGGTTCTCTACACTCACCATACGAAACACAGCAGCGTTAAGCTGCTATTTTTCGCTGGTTTTCTCTGAGAGCGTGGTCCTTCCCCGGTCGAGCCAACCCATTCGTGCTACAACTATACTACTAATATAGCTGCAGCATGGCTCTACCACGCATAAAAGATGAAGAGATTAAAAAAAATTGAGTTAAACAAATGATATTTACCAAAGTTATCGTGTTTACCCCTTCATGCGGACTTGATAAATATACACCAGTCACTAAAACAACTTTTATCTGTACAAATAGCAATTTTTTTTTTATAGGAGAGGGGGCAAACGAGCATGCGGCTCACCTGATGGTAAGTGACTACAGCCGCCCATGAACAACCGCAACATCAGGGGAATTGCAGAAGCGTTGCCGGAATTAATCGATAAAAAAAAATTAATATGTTTAACAATCATTTATCTTTCTGACAATTTGTTTTTTATCATTGACTAGCTTTTCCCCGTGACTTCGTTCGCGTGGAGTTATTTTTCGTAGAATCCTAAAATAAAATCAGCCCATATTATTCCCTATAATATCAGCTATCTGCCAGTATGTATAAATATTGACATTAATATTTATACGATACTAACGTCACTCAATTGTTTTGCCTTCCCGGAGCCCCTCCACTAACACTTAAACTTTATGGTATGGTATTAAAGTTCAAATTGACTTTTAAGGCAATCTATGGGGTAGACTTATGTTCAGCAGTGGACTTTTGATATGCTGTAACGGTATAACGGTAACGGTAAGTAATATTTAAAGCTTGTCACGTGTTGATGGCGTGAGGGAATCTATCTAGTATATACAGGGTTATTTTGCAATAACCGGACAAATTTGCAGAGAAGGTTCAGAATAAGTAATATAGGGAAATGGTAAAGAAAAATTAATTAAATAAAATCTCAAATATTCTGTCCTTTTTAACTTTTAAATTAAAAATGTGTGGTAATGTATTATTTGAACTGATTTTACTACGCACGTACAAGTTAAAGTAAAATAAAAAAAATCTAACTATTTTTAAAGTCTAGATTTAAAAAAAAAACAATCAAATAAGTAATAAGAAAATCGATTGTATTTATGAAATTGATTTTATATTTGTTCGATCCAAAAAAATTAAACGAAAAAGCTTCCAAGGTTTCATTAAAATTCTATTATTTACTTTGAATGATATTTTCAGTTATGAATAAAAAAATATTATTCACAAAAGAAAAAAAAAAACATTTTATAGCAATATATCGATTTTCTTAAAGAATACACCAGTGAAATTCTCGTTTCTGAACGCTACCTACCACTAGTACTTCTTATTAGTTTGTACCTACTAATAAAGGACTTTGCATTTTGAAACTTTAAAACTATTCACTTAAAACAAAAAGACCGACTTTCGATTCGATTTGAAACGACCGCAATATAATTCTCTTCTTATTATTCGATTCTCGATTAAATTCAGCATTTTAATATCTATTTTCGAATATTTTTCTGTTTAAAATACTTGTGAACATATCTATAAAATAATAATAAAAAATACAAAATATCAACATGCAATATGCAAACAAATAACAGTATCAGTAACAATAAAGACAACAATTCAAGTATTCGATCTCAGATCAATATGCCTAATATTCACTTCAAAGTTTTTGTTTTAACTTTCGTTAATCGTTTTACCATTTTGTTTCCTAAATAACCACAGCTTTTCTTTGGTGATTTTATACTGCTCCTGCTTATACAATATCTTTAGGTAATTACAGTGAAAAATAACCTGTTACAGTGTAATTAAAGTGAAAAATCACCTGTCACAGAGTAGGTAATACATAAAATCAAATATACATATTCTACAATAACTCAGCTCCGAAATTGACAAATATTGCCAGATTTTCAGCTATAAATTGTTTATTTATTTCAAATGGTATGAAAATGAAAAAATGAAAAATGTTTTATTAGCAATAAGAAAAATAATACAATAGGTAATATCTGTTGGTTTCCTCACTAGGCAAGCCTGTATCGAGGAAACTTGAGACCATAGTTCATTAAGTGCTATTTTATACACCTTATCAGACAGATTGTATTACACAAAACAACAATAACAGAACTGCTTATTGCTTTAGATCTTTGAACATAAAAAGAAAGAAAACTATAAAAACAAAAGTAAGCTATATAAAACTGAAATGTATTAACTATGTGCATTTAAATAAAAGAAAATAAAATAAAAAACTTTCATCTTGTTAACATCTGGGCCCAAGAATGTATGGAGACGATACATTCTCCTTTCCTCTTTAGCTCGGCAGTTTTCTTTCTTTTCTCCATGCTAACAAGCGCATTATTTTTTTTTTATATTCGGCGACGTATCAAATTAATGTTCTTCATGTGTTTTTTTTGTGCCTGCAGCTGTACAGATCTAATAAAATCTGTATCACTGCGACCAGCAAGATATATTGTGATCGCTGCCATGACTATAGTTCACAGCTAAGCTGTGAGCAATTTTATTTCTTCTCCGTGCAATCAGTTATTATAAAACAGCAATGTATGTATGTGATATAAATTCAAATAAAATTATTTTTTATGCGTTAGTAGTACAGGCTGGGCCAGCTAACGTTTGGAAATGAAACTATAGGTTATTTTGAGTTTGGACGGTTCGATGACATTTCCGATGCGACAGAAAGTTATTTTTATGTTTTATAAAATGGTTTTATAAAATGGGTCGCTTTTCGCTTGAACAATTTCGGAAATATTAAAAATTTGTGAGTCTTCTACTCAAACTGTAATAAATTTAGGAAAAAAAATTGAAATAAAGAATGTGCAAAAACACAGTTTGTGGATCAATTTGTGAAGCATGTTCGTGAAACTGGGTCGTTGTTGAATAAAAAACCTGTGTAAACTCGTCCAGTGCAATCAATCTAAAAAATTGCGACTGTTCCTCAGAGTGTGAGTGAGTGTGAACAACAATCAACATCATCTCGTTATCGTTCTTAAGAATTGAATATTTCACGCACTTCTTTGAAAAGCGTGAATTCTTTGAATTTCTTTGAAAGCTTTGAATGCGTACAAAGTTCAATTAGTGCGAGAGCTGAAGCCGCATGATCATCCCACGCGTTTTCGGTTTGCTCAATGAGGCGAAGACCGCTTTTTTACTTAAAATTAGTCTTTTCAGATGTAGCTCATTTCTACCTCGGATGATACTTCAATAAGAAAAATTGTCATATCTGGGGCTCAGAAAATCCATACGTCATTGTGGAGAAACCAATGCATCCACAACGAGTGACTGTCTGGTCCGGATTTTGGTCTGGCGGTATTATTAGGCCGTTTTTCGTCGAAATGAGCAAGAAAACGCCGTTACAGTGAATGGCGATCGTTACCGCGCCATGCTAAACGATATTTTGTTTCCCAAAATTGAAGAGTATCTATTATATAGACAACATTTGGTTTCAACAGGACGGCGCCACGTGTCACACATTGGCTGTGTGACACGTTGCGCCGTCCTTCTGTCTTCTGCGCATTGTTTTCGAAAATCACGTAATTAGCCGAAATGCTGATGTCAATTTTTACAGGGAACCGTTAAAGACAAGTGTTAGGCTAACCATCTAGAGACGATTGAAGAATTGAAACACGAAATCGAAGTTCCCATTGACGAAATAAACGCCCAAACAATCGAAAATGTACTGAAAAATTGGACTGATCGAATGGGGTATTGTAAGGCAGTCATTTGAATGATGTTGTCTTCCATTCCTAAATGGAAAGGTTCAATATTTCTGATAAACTCATAACTTTTAAAAAATATTCAGTTTTTTATAGCCGATTAAAATCATAAATAAATAATAAATCGTAATACAAATCCTTAACCCCTTAGCAGAATTTTTAACATAACAGCTTAAGCATTTACGCCTGTCACTCAGAAGGGTAGGCAAAGATTACGGACTTCCATTTGGCACGATCCTGACACACTTCTATTGCCTCCATCACGTCTATATATCTACGCACACATACTCATTGATTAAGGGTACTCTTAATTTGGTGGTCCATTTACAATATATTGCGAATGGTCAGTAAACTTCCGTCTAGCGCGTCAATTACCAACTTTCCACTCACTTCTGCAGCAGAAATTTGCTTTGTTAACCTCTCTTTATTCGTTTTTTCTACATGTCCAAGCCACCGAAGTATTTCTGGCGGACGGGACACTAACGTTCTTAAGCTTCAATGATCTAATCTCAGACCTAGCCGACACGTATATACCGAGAAAGCCAAAAGAACAGAGTTAGTTCCTAGTCATGTGATAGCAAGTAAAATTTATAACCTTCTGCTTCGCACTACGAGCTGAAAACGTAAAAACACAAGCAGAATGTTTTATTCAATTATAATTTTTATGCAGTTCCAAATTTTAATATAGCTACTTAATACACGCATAGCACTTTACGCTTAGCTTTTCCTCATAACAACTCAAAATAATAAAAAACAGGCACCAACCCGCTTGCCAAGCGTGGCAACTATGGCAAAATCCTCCCTACGAGGCAATCTATGGGCCTATGTACAACAGTGGTCTTTTATAGGATGTAATGGATGGATGGATGGACGAATAATCCATCAAGTTATGGGAGACATTTGTGTTATTTACTTTGTTCGTAGTACGATATCAATAAGGCATCATGAGGTCAATTACTTATTGACCACTACGTCAATTACTTGTTAATTGAATTTCAATTGTTACGACAAAAAGGAATAACTTCCGTATTATTTAATTAATTTTCGTATATTAATATATTTAATACTTTAATTCAAAGCATTTGTTAAAAATGATTCAAAATATTCTCTACTTACACAGTTCGAGTTTAACTTAAAAAATTAATATATTTTTATTTATTACTAGCTATTCCCCGCGACTACACCCGCGTGCAGTTATTTGACAAATATTGACATTAATATTTATACGATACTAAAGTCACTCAATTGTTTTGCCTTCCCTGAACCCCTCCACTAACACTTTAACTTTGTGGTATGGTATTAAAGTTCAAATTGACTTTTAAGTATTATTACGAATCTTTTGTATGGGAATATAGAAAAGTGTTGTTGTTAGACTTTTTCGGGTAATTTTTTAAATTTTTCTCTCCGTAAGAACCATCTTCGTACTTCAAGTAATATTATAAAAAAAGAATTAGCGAAATCTGTTCAGCTGTTTTCGAGATTTGCGCTTAGGAACACATTCAGCGATTTATTTTTATATTATAGATAAGCCAGTGCTCGATTACACAACCCTTCTTATTATCTAATGTTAAAATACGATGCTGTCCTATACGTCCGTTGTGTAGTGACAGCATATGAGAATTTACCTTTTTTATAGGATAGGGTGACAAACGAGCACACAGTCCACCTAATGGTAAGTGGTTGCTGTGGCCCATAGACATCTACATCTATCCTCGTTTGCGAATCAAAATGCAGATGCGTTGTCATCCGTGAGGGCTAAGATGTAATACCTCATTTCCAGTAAAAAGGGTCTCTGGTTCTTTACACTCACCATACGAAACACAGCAGTGTTGAGCTGTTATTTTACGCTGGTATTCTGTGAGAGCGTGGTCCTTCCCCGGTCGAGCCGAGCCATTCGTGCTACAACTATACTACAAATATAACTTCAGCATGGCTTTACCACGTGTTACCTTTTCATATCATCACGTGGACTGCGCATGTGGTGACAGAGGTAAATTTAACAAGAAATGGGCAGAGGAATCTCCCTGATAACATCTCAAATAATAAAAAAACTGCGGATGCCAGTTCGCTTACCAAGCATGGCAACTACAGTAAATGTGAGGCAATCTATTCGGGAAGCTTATGTTCAGCAGTGGACTTTTGATAGGCTGTAATAAAATAATAAAATAATGATGACCTTTCTTGGAAAACCTTAATTCCTATATACCCCCTTAAGCAGAAATAAATTATCCTTTTCTGCCGACTTCCAAAAAGGAGACGGTACTCAATTCGACTGTATGTTTTTTTTATGTGTGTTACCTCATAACTTTTTACTGGGTGAACCGATTTCGATGATTTTTTTATATGAAATCTGATACTTCTCGTGTGATCCCATATGAATTTTTATTATCAAGGTTCAAGGTCAGACTAATAGTTTTTGAGTTATTCTTAATAATTTATATTGAAGTCGGCTGTACAAAATTTTTAATTTTCAATTATCTCTATGATATACTAATTACGATTATGATAATGGGTAGCAATCTTAAAGTGAATACAATTTTTTTTAAAGACTCATAGTTATCGTATCCTTGCAGGTCGAGCCAATATTTGAGCTGGCAATGCAGGACGATGTGGTTCGAAATGCGTTTCCGCCATGGGTTGAATTCGAGTGGAAAAGATACGACGTCAGTGATTGTGATGCTGCTTATGCTGTCATTTCAGCCATCGATGCTTATAATGACTGCTCACACGTGTTCTTTGGACCTTCGTGCGACTTTGCTTTGGGTAAGTTTTATCTATTTTAAAAGATCCACACGTCCAACCGAGCTTAACTTTGGACACTACTGTAGTTAAGATAAAACTAGCTCGCGGCTTACCAGATGGTAAGTGTCTTCACTTCATCGCTCGCCGCCGCCCTTGATCAGCTCTAGCAATAAAGGAATCGCAGGAGCATTGTCGGTCATTAAAGAGGAAGTAAAAAGAAAACTATAATTACGTTTGGTAAGAACCTGTGATTATGACACATGCATCTAGCACAGTTAAAAAAGCGGAATTACTCAGTCGGACTTTTGGAAAAAAATTATTCCTTACTCTAATATAATTAAAAGGATTAAAAATTACAGTATATATTGGGTCCTACTACCTAGTACAGGTCTCATCTCATTTCTGAGAGCATTTATAAAACAATTAGTCCGCTGCGTCTGTAAATTTTATTTTTCGGAATTGCAGGTTTCCGTTCGTTATTTTCCTGTACACTTTTACTGCGTTCATCGGCACTCGAACTTTAAATTAACAATATATTTTACTAAGCGTATGAAAAATTGCTGCTTGAAATACAATGATCTATACAACCTGAATACAACGCGCGAGTCACTATGAAACCCCCCGTCGATATCTAATAAAGTTGGTAAAGTAATAAAGTTTTATCATCGGATTCTTTTCTTATAATAAAGTGGTTTTTGGGCCATTCACTTCCTGAACTTATCCCGCAATATGGATGAAACTGTAGTTGGCTTAATTGTACGGGCGTGATAGAAATATTATGAATGGGTATTAAAAAAAAAACGGGCAAATATTTACTGTTCCTGTGAGGTATACTGTATAACATAAATAAAATAATGTACGCATTTTGTAATTATTAATCCCAAAATTATAAATTAACAAAATGCGTGAGTGTCGTGGAAAACTCGGTTGGAACGAAGTTCCTTGCATAGTATATTATCATTGATAAACGTAGGTATTATATTATTGATTAACAAATACAAATAAATTAATTATGTACTAGCGTCTATTAAAATGAAGCGTCATTTGAAATAAAATAATATTTCTTTCATGGCAACATAAGAAAAAGTGCGGGGGAGCTGGATACTATTGGAATAATGGCGGCGAAATAAGTAAGTAAGATGGATCTCACTTCCTTATTTCGCCGCCAAGGCCGTCTACATTATGACACACGGGGTAGTGACAAAAAAAATCTTACACTTTTTGGCGCGAAGCTCCCATCCGTACCGTCCGATAAATAACTTCGTTCCAAAAACAAACAATTATTTTTATATACTTTGTAACTTTGTCACACACGTGATTTATTCAAGCAGCATTTGGGCGACCGCGCTGTGCGCAGTATTAGAAAAATATAACATAATATTCTCAGGGAATCACCAAACGGTATTCGCTGAAGGTCATACATGTTTACGCACCAACCTCGGCACAAACCGATGAGGAGGTGGAGGAAATGTATGAGGATATCTCTAGAGCCATGCATTCCTCCAAAACCCAATATACGGTGTTAATGGGAGACTTCAATGCAAAACTAGGCACAAGAGAGAATGGTGAGCTGAAAGTAGGGAATTTCGGAACAGGGCAACGGAACCCAAGGGGCCAGCAGCTGGCCGACTTCATGGAGAAAGAGGGATTCTTTATGATGAACTCTTTCTTCCAGAAGCGGCCCCACAGGAAGTGGACCTGGTCGAGCCCCGACGGTTCAACAAAAAATGAGATTGACTTCATTATGAAGACCAGACGATAACTGTTCAGTGATGTGTCAGTGATCGCGAGGGTGAGAACCGGCAGCGATCACCGAATGGTGAGAGGCACACTGAATATGGCTTCCACAATCTCTTGCACTTTTAATCTTCGGTCGGCCAACACCATATCGTGAATTTTTTTGATTGTTTTGGGTGAAGAGACCTCAACTGGGCGTCCAGGACGTTCGGCATCTTCAGTGCTTGTACGGCCACAACGAAATTCAGTAAACCACTTTTTTACCATTGAAATCGATGATACAGAGTCCCCATAGTATTTATCAAGCTTAGCCTTGGTTTCAGTAATGGTTTATTTTTTCGCAAAAAATAATGTTTAATAAGCACACGAAATTCACTTTTTTCCATTTTTCCTCAAATTACTGGGTAGTCTGATAAAGATAGCTGTCAAACACAAACTAACTGACGCAGCAAGTTCAAATTTTGACAGGAGTCAACTGACAGATGACTGTTGACAGGAGTAGTGTTGCTTTTTCAGTAAAGAGGTCAGAAATTCAAAAAGTCACGGACTTATTGACCCCTCGCAACATCAGTGTTGTGCGGCGTATGATAGGGACTGACAAAAGAGTGACTTATCAGTAGATTCGGACAAGATTAGGCATCGGTAGGAGTCAAGTGCACAAAATCCTCCATGAACATTTAGCGGTCAGGTTTGTGCTTGGCAGATACCTCATAATTTGACAGAGGCCTAAAAACTCCGCCTAAAATTGGTGTCGTGAAATGGTTCAAAGATTTAACGGAGGTGACTCAAATTCTGTGTTCGACATATTTTTGGGTGACAAAAGCTGGATTTATCGTTATGATCCTGAAACTGAGAGACAGTCTGATTTCTGGGTGTTACCTTCCGAGGAGTTGCCGACTAAAGTGAAGAGAGGTCGAAGCGTGGGAAAAAAGATGGTGGCCTCGTTCTTCGGAAGGGCAGGTCATTACGCAATCAACGCAATTGTTTTAGTGGATCGAAAAACAGTTACTGCAGTGTGGTATACTAACAATTGTTTGCCACTTGTCTTGTAAAAAGTTTTGGAGAAACGACCTCACAGTAGGATCCACCTTCACCACGATAATGCCTCGTCGCTCACCGCCAAGCAAACAATCGACTACTTGGCGACGTCAGACTATAGCCCTGACCTCGCACCTTGCAATTTTTATTTATTTCCGAAAAAAAAAGAAAATCTTCGAGGAAAACGTTTTATGGACGCCGAGGAAGCAGTGGCTGCGTTTCAAAATGCTGTCGGAGAGACCCCTAAGGATGAGTGGGCAAAGTGCTTTTCTCAGTGGTTCCGTCGGATGAAGCGATGTATTGATGTAAATGGACACTATTTTGAAAATATATAATAAAACTAATAACTTGCTAGTTTGTTCAGTTTTTGATTTTCTTCAGTGTCACTCTCGTAACCTGACTGACGGCGGATTGCTGCTATTTAGTTAATATATTATGTTGTGAATTCGTGCTCCATTTCTTGACACGTTTTCATGCATACATATTTATTCTTCCTTTCTTTATCAGCCTGTAAAAGTTCACTGATGGCTCACATATTATGCATGCAAAACCATTGAATAAAACTACTTTTACGAATTCCGACTGAGGTGATTGACGTCCCGATGTCAGAGTTAACCCGAAGTACCTTCAGCTTTTTTAATTATTAGTTTTGGTCCGATCTACGCAGAATGAACTTAATGTATCTTGAAATCTTGCAAGATTTCATCCCTTGTGACCCGAAACGTCGGGAATTTATTAAAAATTGGTTAATTAAACGCGATAGAATCCGTAAAAGTGGTTTTATTCAATAATGATTTCTTATATTTACGCGAACACTACGCATTGAATAAAACTACTTTTACGGATTTTATCGCGGTTAATTAAGTTATTTTATATTCCCGACGTTTCGGTTGCTTTCCAGCAACCGTGGTCACGGGGACTGAAGTGATAGACGTCCCGATGTCAAAGTTAACCTGGAGTACCTTCAGCTTTTAATTATTAATTTTGGTCCGATCTACGCAGAATACTAAGAACTGTGTCTTAAAGCCTTGCAGTGGTATGCTTGGGTTTAGTTTTACTTTTATGAATTACAGGATCCCAAGCAAGTGGTAGTACCCAGCCTCCATCTCTATTGAAAGTAGGATGTTTTTTAATTTTAATAGCCTCACGTATCATCCTTGGCAGGAATCGATGTTCTTTCGCGAGAAGTTGTGGTTTATCAAATCTAATGTAATGGCGGGGGCCGTCTAGGATATGATCACAAACTGCAGACTTCCCGGAAAGTTGGTGCTTCACGTCAGCTATGTGTTCTTTTACGCGGATTTTTATTGATCGTTTTGTTTGCCCTATATATGAGAGACCACACTCACAATCAAGCTTGTACACTCTTGCATCTTGTAGAGGAATATTGCACTTGACGGATGGTAAGATCTGACTAATCTTCTTCGGCGGCTTGAAGAATGTTCTAATAGAAGCTCGCTTCAAGATCTAACCAATCTTGTCTGTGACATCTCTGACATATGGTAGTACAGCAGGCACACGCTCAACTGTGGCCGGCTTCACTTGGTAACTGTGACGTAGGCGCGGAACCCGAAGCTTGTTGTCGTGCAGAACCTACTTGACGTGCTGAAGCTCGGTGGCTACGTGTTTGCTGTCACAGATCCCTCGTGCTCTCTGCAACAAAGATTTGCCCACGGTAGCTAACTGTGAAGGGTGATGGTGGGATTCACCGTTTAAATATCGGTTTGTATGGGTCTTTTTTCTATACACAGTGTGACCTACGGTGTTATTAGGATTTCGAATGCCTAACACATCTAGGAAGTCTAAAGAATTATTTGCCTCTAACTCCATAGTAAATTGAATTTTAGAGTTTATGGAATTAAGATGTTCTAAAAATGCAGTTACTTATTTTAGCATCAGACACCCTTCATATATATATACTCATACTTATTATATATATATACTCGTACTTATTTAGACTACATTCAAGTAGTAACCTTGAGCTTGTTTTTAGTTAACTCAAAGCGGCAAATATTTAAACACTTAAACAATTTAAAGCCTGCTTAAAAAAGTAAAAAGACTAATGTTATTTCCTTTTTTTCTTGGTGTAACTTAATAAATTAATACCTAAATGATCTAAATGGAAGTGGACTACTTTATTCTTTTTAGATTTTTTAGAGGCGGTTTTTAAGTTTAATTACTAAAAGAAAAAAAATTATCATAATCCGGCTTTTACTATCGTATTTGTGTACGATACTACGTTTTAG